TCCGGACGTCCTCTTCAGCGGACGTCAGATTTGCACAAATGTGCGCACTAAGCGGATTTGTGGTGGAGAGTATCTGTCTGTCGACTATGGGCTGGATTAGCGGCCAGCCATGCAGTAACGATACCACGTACCTCGCCAATGCCTTGCGCATAGACACACCTGTATATGAGTCTATTAGACACTAAGGGCAAGCAGTGAAGCACACCGAGTGAAGACTGATACAATTAAGGTATGGTACAGGTTGCCCGGCATCTCGCGAGTGGGTTGGCGCCCAAGTACAAAGGACCAGCCACAGTCGCGTTCCCCCAGTTTCACTTCCCTCTTCGCACCTGCATTACCCCGCCCTCAACATTGCGCACAATCATCCATATCCTGGCTTCATATCGTCATTATACAATGCCGACAACGATCTATCCCGATCGCGAATGCACCCACCTGCCAGATATGATACCCACCGACAACGCCACTGCGAAGACACGCACCCTACACTCTTCCGACGCGATGTCGCAGCAGCGCATCGATGAGACGCAGGACCCCTCCTGTTGCGTTGACGTGCCTTACATACACGACGTGAAGGCTCGACACCAGCGCACTTCATCTTCCGGGACCTCATCCAACGCGAGCTCCTGGAGTACGCAGACATTTACGACAGCCGACAGCCATGCCAAAGTGGTAAGTGAAATGACCACCTGGAGTAGTAAATGCATGTGTACTCACGGATATTGTACGATAGCTGGTCCCCCTTCAGGACCGGAACTGCAATACCCTGGCGAACCATCGTCGTCCCGAAGCGCCACCGACCTTCCTTGGAGGGGCCTTCCTCAACCCAGTCTGGGTCAATACTCCTCGTGTCGGCCTCGGCCATGTCGACCGCCCACACACCCACATGCTCGAGCCCTTCCGGGTTCCAAGGGGTGCGATTCTCAATCCCGTATGGGTCGACACCCCCGGTGTCGGACGAGGGAACGTGTCCGGTGCCCGCGCGGACCTCGAGCCTTTCAGGCCCAGCCTTGCCGAGGGTGCGCCATGGCCGAAGTGCCTCAGCCGCCAGAGGCAGGCGACCGCAGCCCCGCTGGAGCGTCCCCCGAAGTCTCCTGTGTACGATTATGGGGGGCCTCCGACGACCTCGACTGGGCTGTCGCGCTCAGCACCTACGACCGCCTCGATATCGAGGAGACGAAGCATGCCGTTGACTTCCTGTCCCTGTGGAAGAGGAAGTCGGAGAGCTTAGCCAGACGGTACGAGGTGCAGTATCGGAAGGCGATGAACGTGGTCGAAAGAGCTGGGGAGGTGTTGCTGGAGGAGATACGGATGGAGGATGCCCCGAGTTTGCTGCTCGCACCGTTGGAGGAAGACACGTCAGCCGAAGTTGCCGACAACTCCTGGCCTGATGACCTCCAGACGCCGTCGAAGTTGGACAGCATCATGCCTAACCTCGTCGGATTAGGCGAACACTTCGAGGATTGAAGGGACGTTGGGGGGAGGGGGAGTGAACATACGGTGACCATCGAAGAGATGCAACGCAAGGTCGTGGCTATGTTGGCCACCGAGAGGTGTATAAAGGAATGAGGAGATGGTTTTCAGCGATGTGTGTATCGGACAGCCTTGTATTTGTTTCGTGATAGCGGCTACCTGTGACACAAACCAGCGCGCTCTCGACAGCTCCGTTCGCATGTTCGTGAATATCTGACTAGCCGCGTAAGCGCCTATGTTTGAAAGGTCGGCAACAGCGCGACGCACCTGTGAGCTTCTGCCCTCATCAATAACGAGACACAACGAAGGCATCACTTCCTGCAGCACTTAAGTCAATGCGTTCAACACAGGAACAGGCGAGTGAGCTTACCGATCGTCTATTTCATCTGAGTAGCGGAGTCGAACGCTCACCACTTTCATCCTAACTCCGAGTATCGGCGGTGACCCTTGGAATCGACAAAGTACGAAGGCCGCCTGTTATAAGGTTGCGCAAGGACAACGGACACCGCAGAAGCGGACAGCCATTCGGTGAGATTAATGGTCATTAACCTCAGGAACAGGATCTATGCTTACCAGGAGTTCATACACGCGGCAGTATACAGCGATAGGCTAGCAGAGTACGCAATGACGGATCGCGCGAACATGCTGGATTCCTCGTTGTAGTCCATCCGCGGCATGTTCAACACGAGAAGCCACCTTCAGATTGACGATAGCACGCGCCTACGGTCCTTAAAGAGTGCATCTGGTGCAGAGGAGCTGCTCCCCCTTAATCCTGGAATGCAACGTATCTCCGGTGTAAAGAACGAAGGTACAACGACTGTGCGAGCGGGTACTGTAGACTGACAGACGCAAAACGTCATTCAGAGGTACTGGCTGATGGTGTTGACGAACACCCACCTAAACTTGCAATGCATACTTGAATGATCTTTCGTGGTTATCCGTGAAGAACGAGGGAATGACTTGAAGTACAAGTTTGGTTCCTATACGGCTGTACCAACGCTCGAGCACAGTCGCGTTACAATACGCTAAGCTCGCCACAGGCCGGTGTGGCTTGGGCCACCATCGCGTAAGCGCTCAGCATAAAGGCCGCCACCGACCTGAACTCGACTTGCACATTCTTGTCTTTGTCCCCCACGACAACAACGAAGCGAAGCCCCTCAAACCCTATACAAACCCTACAAAAACCTCGCCGATCACTCATCAGCTTACAATGCGCGCGACATACTTGCTCTCACTTACCAAACGCGACGCGAAGGGGAAGGGGAAGGGGAATCTGAATCCCGCGAATGTGGCGTACGCTCAACCAACCACTGCCCCGCATGCAATTGGTGGACCATCCTACGCCGACGCATATACGAGCAGCCCGGAGAGCCTCGTATGGGCTGACGAAGCCAGACGCGTCGCTGTTGAAGGCAACGCCACTCCTCTCGATGTGGCCGCAGCGTCCTCGCGCAAGTACTCGCGTACGCGACGCGTCCCCGACTACAGCATGATGCCATACATGACTCCACAAGAGATGGTTATGGAGTTGTGGAAGCCCAGCATCGCCATCGTAGAGCCGATCGTCTTCGCGGCGCCACGCCCGACGCGGCCTCCGAAGGTCGACAGGGCAAATATATCCGCCGTCGTTGATCACGACTGGGAAGTCTGGAGAGGTGGTGTGCGTCTGCAACACACAAAACAAAGTACGGTAAACGACGACCACCCGGTGAGTGACCATGTGCAACCGTACTAGGTTTTGTGCTTACCTTGGATATGCGACGTGACTATGTGCAGGTGGATAGCGAGTACGCTTCCTGGCCACCCTTCCTACCACACCGTTGCGAGACGGCACAATCGACACACGAGATGTCTTCGGGGCTTGCGGGTCGAGGCACGGGCACTCTGACGCTCCAGAGCCTCGTCACTGACGACCTGGGTTCAGAGCCCGTCGATGCCAATGAAGGGTCCAATGTAGGCGTCCTGTCGGAGGGATCAGACTCATCCTCCGATACGGCAAGCAGCTTTGGCCGCGACGATGGATTCTGTGTCCAAGGAAGAGAGGATTGGGCATACGGGCTCGCCACTGTCGAGCCAATTGTGATGAAGACTGCAGACGGCCCGTTGCGCGAATGCGACTGGATCGACTGCCCGTTCTGTCCTTCTTCGGTCGGTGAGGCAATCTTCTCGGAAGGGGATGCCAACAGCCTCACAGGCCGCGCGCATTAAGGCAACTCGAAGGGGTCGCCCAAGGAGAGCGGGTCGCGAGCACGGGCGTCCGGACGCTCTCGACGTCGGGCTGGCTCATCGTCTTCAGGCAAGAAGAGGGCCTCGGCAAAGACTCGTCACGTCGAGACAGGCTGCATCCCAGCGAGAGAGAAAGGGACTCGAGCGTTACCCTCCACGAAAGACATCTCCAGTTGCCCGCGACCTTGCGACTGGATCGATTGTCTGATCTGCGAGCAGGCTGAGTCCGCGTCGACCACGGCGCGGCGCGAGAATGCTGGGCAATGCTCGGCCGGAGAGAGTACAAGTCGCAAGCCGTCGCACCGCAAGACCAGGAGAAACGGAGGCGGGGAGTTCCATCGGGTTGCCGTCATGTTGGGCCTGGTGCCCGAGCTATGACTGCGATACGTCCGCTCAGGGGGATCGGATTTTTCTATCTAGTTGATGTTCTCACCTGTACTTGTAGAGTAGGCTGCCGTCAAAGAGAACAGCCCAATCCTTGGATCGTCGTCTGAGCAGTCGGTCATGATACAGTCGCAAGTGCCAGCAGCGGCCGAACAGCCACCGTCATCATGAAATAGTAAGTTGAGTCGCAAGCGCTGTGGTGTTGCTAGTGGGGTCGACCAGCTCGGCGAGGGCAAAGATGTCAGGACTCAGGGCGATTTTTGCAAGGAGAAAGACACGACGAAGACAGGTGCAGTCACTGAGTCAGTGAAGGACGACGTATCTTCTTCCGGTTATTAGGGGCAGCACGGGCCGATGTATTGATGCTCGATTGAAGCTTCAAAAAATGTATTGCGTGTCTCTTACCGTGGCATACAGAGCTAAGACTACTTAATGGTGTGGCTTAGTAAGTTCAACTTGAGTGCGGTGTTCATTGATCTTCCTCTCCTCATCTCAGACCACGCCGTTCAACGGCCACGATGCATGGTTGAATGTCGCCTAACTGCATGCCTTGTGCGGACTCCGTGTGTAGCATCGATATGGCCCTCAAGGAGGACTCTGAGTCTTAAGGAACCACACGGGTCGTTGCAGCTTGCGCGTGGCGGAAACGGCGGGTTCCACCTCCACGTGGCGGGGATGATCGCCACTCGTAGTCTCAGATTCTGCCACGCCAAAATCATACTGACGCATATTGTTTCAGAATCAGTCCACTGTTACAGTGCCAAAATGTCGAAAACTCTGGCAAGAACTCGTCTGGGCTCATTTCGTTCAGCCGTACACAAACTCAGGACGTTGAAGTATCATCCCTCAGCTGCGCGACCTCACGACGTCAGAGCAATACAGGCCATATTACGAGGAAACGGCTATCCTAGAGCATGGAACAGAGCGACCCGGTGGTCCTATGTAATTTTGCTGGCTCAGCCTGGCTGTGAGCCGGCAGTGCGGTTAGTCGCACGTGCCTCCGCGTATATAGACTGTCGCAGACGAAGGTGACGGTCTTCGCCTACGACCACACTCACGTCGTGTTCGGCTCCTCGAGCCTCCCTGTTGTGATCCCGTCCACTCGTTTACGACGATGACCATGCTGTCTTTCCTCTCTCTGGGCTTGCTCGCGCTTCCTGCAGTCCATGCAACAGGTTCCCCTTTCCACGCTCGGGATGCTTCAACCGATTCTGCAAACTCAACAAACTCGACCGTCGACATGGTCGCGGCGGCGTGGTATACCGGGTGGCACTCCGACACCCTCACGCTGGGCAACGTAAGCTGGGACAAGTACACCCACCTTGTGTATTCCTTCGCGTGAGTGCTTTACCTCCTGGGTGATCTGCGTCATGGAGAATCAGCGGCAACTGCATCATTGTTATTGGTACCGCGGCGCGGACACATTTCATAGAACTAGACGAATGGGGACACGACGTTCAGCCGTGTTCTCCCACCTATTTGGTGTTGTTTCAACCACACGCATTCCGCCACACTCCCGTAACAATTCTTTCCATTCTGTTTAGTCCCAAGTCGCCAAGTTACACGCAGCCGTGTTTAGTAGCATGACGATGCGGATTGCAAAAGTGACCTTCGCATAATACGACAGAACGAGGAACGTACGTTGGCTCAGGGTGGCGTGGCTGGCCTTTCCTCCTCTTTGACAATATGGGATTTCTTACTCGATCATCTCAACTAACAGCCCATTTTTACTTTATCAGTGCAACAGAACCCTCAGCGAACGTCTCTCTTGACGGCTCCGACCCCGAGCTTCTCCCCCAGTTTGTGTCCATGGCCCACGATAACGTACGTACACGTAACTCCGTCCTTGAGACGCATCGTTGAACACCGTCAATATACAGGCCGTGAAGGCCATGGTGTCTGTCGGCGGCTGGGGTGGTTCCACCCACTTCTCAGACAACATGGCAACGCCAGACAACATCACCAACTTCGTTCAATCTATCGCCAGCTTCGCGACGCAATACGACCTGGATGGTATCGACTTCGAGTGTGTACTTACTTCACTTGTCTCGTTGGCTACCTGACTAACAATCTACTAGCTGGGAATACCCCGGCAAGCAGGGTATCGGTTGCAACGTCGTCTCTGAGAACGACACAGACAACTTTCTTTCCTTCCTGCAGGCGTTCCGTCAGGAGATGGGCTCGAAGTTCATCATGACCGCCTCCGTCCCCGTCGTGCCCTGGACCGGCTCGAACGGCAGCTCCGTCAGCAACGTCTCGGACTTCGCCACCGTCCTCGACTGGGTAAACGTGATGAACTACGACGTGCACGGCAGCTGGGACTCCACCGTAGGCCCGAACGCACCGCTGAACGACACCTGCGCGAACAGTACGACCGCGGTGGGCAGTGCGGTGAGTGCGCTCGCCGCGTGGAGCGCCGCGGGTATGCCAGCGCACCAGATCGTGCTCGGCGTCGCGGGCTACGGCCACTCGTACGCTGTCGAGCCCTCCGCCGCCGTCGCCCAGAACGGCACGCTCAACATGTACCCCGCGTTCAACACGTCCGAGCAGCCGCTCGGCGACGCGTGGGACAACGCGACGAACACCGACGTCTGCGGCGTCGTCTCCGGACCTTCGGGCGTTATGGACTTCTGGGGCCTCATCGAAGGGGGCTACCTCAATCCGAACGGCTCCGTTGCTGACGGCATCATCTACATCTTCGACGGGTGCAGCCAGACGGTGCGTACATCCCATCCCTCGCTAGGGCTGAAGGGAGCGACTGACTGATGGGTCGACGTGTAGCCATTTGTGTACGACGAGTGCTCCCAGGTGATGGTCTCGTTCGACGACGCGGACTCGTTCGGAGCCAAGGGCAGCTTCATCGCGGACAGCAACCTGCGCGGCTTCGCGATGTGGGAGGCGGGCAGCGACTACAACGACATCCTTCTCGACTCGATCCGCGCCGCCGCCGGCTTCCCCGACGACGAGGACGATGACTGCTGAGCGTGGCCGTTGATTAGTGACTGCTGCATGTCGAACGGGCTGCTGTGCCGCTCGGACGTTCTTCTCCTCTCGCACCTTATCTGTTATTGTTGGCATCTGTCTAGCTCTGCGGGACGGTTGAACCGTCCGCTTGCTGGTCTTGGACTTAGCTCCCGCTGTGCATCGTCACGCTCGTCATCGTCATCGATCCGTCTGCTGCATACTGCCCGTCGCTACTTATCCCATCGTCACCGTATCAATAATGATCTCGCATCCATAAGTCTGCATCTTGGTGACACTGTACAGGCTATGCCCTGTACTGTTAGGCTTAGACAATACTGGGCAAGAGCCGGTGCCGATTGTCAGTGTGATCAGTCGGGTTTGTCCTGCTTCCGTAACGTCCGACAGATGTGCGGTGTTTTTGCAAGCCGTATGTACATAAAGCAGCAGTGGGCGTCTATAGTAACGCGCCCACATCTGCCCACCGTACTTAAGTACATGCATGTGACATTCTCCAGTCAAACAACGACGTTCACCCCGGCCGGGTTCTGGCAAAGTCTGTCTCATGTCCTATGGCGGTGTCTGCTTCGTGCCATACGTACCACATCTAGGTACGTGCATCCTACCTTCCGAATCCATAGTACTTACCTGCCGACCTGTGGCTTGCGGCTTGCCCACATATCCTGTGCGGCCCGTGCATACGTCAACGTTCGGAGGAACTGCGAACTTATCACCGATTTCCGGTACAGCACGAACTTCCGATTTCACCGCCAACGTTCTGCTGGCAGCCGGGGGCCATCGCAACGGACGGTGTCCATATGGTCCAGCTGCGCATCTTGCGAAAGTAGATGTACACTTGACAGGGTTTACGTTCCCGGCACCGCCCAGCAGATCGACCTGCTTCACTTGCCCACGACCGCCGGTACCGGTCGGAGGCAGTGGACTGCTCCCATGTGGTCGACCCACGGCGAGTCCAACTCGGTGCCTCTGAGGCAGACCCGGGCCGGTGCCATGTCGCGGCAAATGCCTCTCTGACACAACCCGTCTGAAGCTACCCTGCTATTGATAGCTTCCTACCTGCAACAGGTTCCGAACTGCATTGCGCGGTCGATTGTCGAAGCGCTGCTGTGCGCCCGCTGTCGGACATGGAGCGCGACGATGAAGTCTGGTACCGTTGAAGAGCGCCCAGGTGCGTGAGGCTGTGTTGTCTGGTTTGATCCACACTGACCTTCGCCCAACTTTTGCCCCCACTACTTCGAGGCGCTTGCCACAAGTCTGAGGATGCCGCTATGGGACCGGGGGATGCGCCCATTGACAAAGATCGCTGTACGTATGACACTCGACCTACAGATGTTCAACGTCCAACGCGCGCATAGACGACGCCGAGACAAAGTTCATGTAGAGTCCGATCACGAAGTCACTGAGCGCGGGGAAGTTCCTGAATCGAGATTCGAGATCCTCGTACGGGCTGTCTTGTACTATGTACAACGGCCGATGCCTTGAATGCTGAGCGCTGCGTACTGGTAGGTCATGGGTCGGCGAAACGCCAGGTAGGAGGTAAGTCTGCTGCGGGTATGATGGCCGACGTTGACTATCCGTGCGTACCATGCGTATGTGCCCGCTTCTTGACATGCGACAACCTCATTGTGCGTCCTCGCAAGCACCGTCTCGAATTGTTGTCTGTGCAGGGCCACGGTCAATTCAAAGACCATTTGAATAACGAGACCGCGCACGATCATATCACTAGCGTCTCCGGTCCTAATGAATACCTTTACACAGAAATCTGCCACGAGGCTCATACAGCACTCGTTCGGGCTTCATAGAAGCATCCGTCTGGTCCGCCGAATTATTCCCGACCTGAAGTATTAATGTATCACAAAACAAAGTTAGGTGCGTATTGTTGCTAGCTCCTACCATGACCCCGTATTCGACGGAGTCCGCCGATGGCCCGCGCTGCCTAGACGAAGTAGCATTTTTGAGGCTCCCCCGGTCTCCACCACGTTCGCAGACTTTCGACGATCGAGCCTGAGCTCGTGCGGTGGAGGGCGCACCAGAGCCTACACGCACTTGTCCAGGGTTCTGATGAATAGAACCGCACGAATCTCAAGCTGACAGATACCTGTTGTCAGCGGTGATCTCTATCGAAAATGACAGCATGTGCGCACGGGGAACAGAAACAGACGGAAACAATGTCGCACCGAAGCAACCGGTCGCCTTCTCTCTTCGAATTCAAGGACGGGCGCGCGCTTCGTCTTCCCAGGCTTGATTTCGCTAATATTGTATATCGCAGGCTCTCTGCATGCTGGAGGAGTCGAAGGCTGGTCGAAGGGCAGACCCATACGTGGCGAAGTCGTAAGGACCCCGGCACGTTTTCTTGTACTGAGATCTTCACGTAGACGGCGATTACTGACCGTCCACTCAAGTGCACATGATGGCCACCCTATCAGCCCCTCTCTACCCTTCGCCCAAGGCTTCACCGTCTCTCCAGAATGGTCTCCGCCTTGTTTCTTCTGTACACAGCACCGATGGCTGTGTTGATAAGTACGGAAGTCCTTCCCGAACCCCCTGGCATTTACGTCGATCCTTTGTCGAGCACCCGGCCTGTGCTGACGGTAGAAGTTCTATAATCCACTGTCACGCGTCAAGAACCTACGCTAGCCGCATGCCAATTCAAATGTGCCGATGAGCTACTCGAGGTGGCGGAATATTTCTGGGCCGTCATGTCGGCTACCTGTCGGCACGTTGGGGGCAGGGAGCGGGGGCTTATTGCGAGCTTGGGCATGTGGCGACTCCGGTACTGCAGTGGCAGCACAGTTGCTGTGGATAAAATCCGCGCAGAATACCGCGGAGAAACTACCTGACTTAACCGTCTGTAACGGTCCCCGGGGCAGTCTCGTCGCGACGCTTGCACGCTGAATCCCGGCTGATGTCCCAAAACCACCGAGAAGACGGCTTTTCGAAAGGCGAATTACTCAACCCACTGGCAGGGCCAGGCAGGCGCTCGGACGATGGAAGACTGCCGCTGTTCGAGGGTAAATCCAAGTGAAGATATCGCACACAACGCGGATCCTCTCGTCGAGATTCGGTTTCATACCGTCTTCTCGTTCCCGGAGTCGGGATAACGAGTGGGTTGACCGCGACACTACGACCTCTATGATTCAACAGCATGTCAGCGAACACAAGCGAACCGCTGTCCGCATCAGCCCGAACAGATGCTCGAGACACGTAAGCACTTACTCTTGTTCTACTTGCACCAAGTTGAATACGGCTGTCTTCTGTGAAGATTCTGCCCGAACACTGGATATCCCTCTTGGCTCTTCAACAGGCTGGCCGCCACGATCACGACACGGATGGTTCGTTGCTAGGCTGCTAGTACTGCGCGGCCGGTTTTGCCCACATGATGTTGGTGTGTCTGTTGACGATGCACAGTAGCTCCGCTCAACTCTGAGGCCAGAACATCAGGACGTCTCGTTACTACGACCGCCGCGACTATAGCCCGGATCCAGCAACTCGCTGAAACGATGGAAAGGACCGCATCTCACTGCCCAGCCTCGTTTAAAGAGCGCAATGTGATTGGAAGACTCGGTGCATAAACGGTGAGTGGACAATCGGCACTGTCCGTCGCGCAGGCTATACCCCCGGTATCTCAGGAGAAAAATTGAAGCCAGCGTATCATTCCGAACTGGCCAGGCAATCAGGAGACGACTTTCAAATGGCCGAATGGAACAATCAGCACAGTCCCTAGGCGGTAGTACACTACGCTCAAATCCAGGTTCTTGTCGTCCAGCCTCGCACACAGGGAATGCTCATCTCATAGTGCTCCTCCCAGGAATCTTTGTTGCTCGAGCTACATCGCTAAGTGTTCAACTGACAATGGTTCAGGAACCTGTAGCCTGGGATCGCTGATCCAGAAAGTCATACTAGTACGTGGTCGCAACAAACAAGTGACGAGATCCACGACACGGGATGACACTGCAGAGAGCAGGAACGGTCCTAGCCAGCCCATTGATATCGACCCTATCATTCTGACGCTTCGCAGTGCCATATATCAGCCGGTACACTTGCCATCAACCCACGATAGAATCGGCTCACGCAACCCAATGCAGTGACGCAGGCGTCAACTCCCCCGATCACGTCGACGAGGTGAAGGGCCTTTCCACTTGGGTACGACCGGTCTCCCCACACGCCTTGCGTGTAGATAGATGGCATCAGGTTCGCGGCAGAATTGGATTCACCTACATCAAAGGAATCACGAATAAAGTCGTTGTACACATTTTGATCACGCGACGACTCGGACCGTGGTGAGTCCTCCCGCTGCTCTCAGTAACAACCGCGAGTTACCGACCAGCTGGTATCGGTACCAGTGCGAAACGCATTCTAGCACCACGGGACCGATCGTAACACGCACGCTGTTGCTCCACGGCGGACCGTGTCACGACCATTCTTCATCTCGTCGCCGTTCCTGCTGCGCACTGGCACCGGCCGGCCGGAGGACTCTCATAATGCACTCCTCGACATCGTCGCCGGCTCGGTTCCTGGGTCCTCGATCGCGGCTGCGGGAGCAGGCTCGATCCCGGCGGACCCTTCTTCGATCGAGCGACCGCAATTTCCCAGCAACGAATCCGCTGCGCGCAAACTACAGGGTCTACTTACGGACGACTCGGAGGGAGATCGCAGATCCGCAGCGCGCACACGGGCGCTCCGTCGCCCTGATCCGCTCGCTGGTGGCGGAGGCTGTCACCTCGAACCGGGGCTCGGAGGTGGCTGGCGCGCGCGGACGAGGCGGGATCGCCGCCTGGGACCGGGAGGGTGATGCGCGCGACAGCGACGGTGATGATGGTCGATGGAACTTAGAATGCGGTGAGTGCCAGTGCGACGCTAGAATGATCGCGAGTCGGCCGCCGCGCGAGCGTGTCGTTGGGGACGATGTGCAGAACGATTAGCAGCGCCGTCCGTGCGGATTGCCGTACGTGTTTTGGGAGGTTCATCTGTCGCGCGATGCCACGGTTGGAAGGCACTCGCATGCGCGCAAGTTTCCGCGGGACGTCCCCAGTGGATCTCAGCAGACGGTACTACAGCGCCTTCGGTTGTGTCTTAGGTGGATCGAGCGGGGAATCTGAGATGGGCATCGCGACTCCTCTGCCAGTGCGGGTGACGCGTACCAGGGATCCACTGAGCGATGCAAGTCAAAGTTCATGCACTGGCACCAGGTACACAATCTGCCATGGCTCGCCTCGTGCCAGTGCGCGAGTACCGCGCCTGTTCACGTTGAACGCGCCGACACGACGTAGGGCCGCAGCACGGTTGTCACTTGTGTGTATTCACGCCGGGCTTTTGCTCAAACACCGGCTCTTTCGCCTGTCACCGTCGACTTTGAACGGGCTCGCGACGGAGCACTCATACGATACGCCGAGCCCTGCTTCGTCCGCGGAGAACACGACGAGTATAACCTGTGCGCACCTCATCTGCTATTCAACACTGCGTTATGCAGGGCGAGGCTGATAGAAACGAGTCCGCAGATGCGAGAGAATGCCGAACCAAGTTGTACCGACGGTTACTACGCACCACCAGGTTGGTTAGATCATGGTCCATATTTGTGAAACAAAGGCGAAGACATACGTACGACATCTTACTAACGAAGGCTTTCCCAATTTGCGTCGGACCGACTCTATGTAAGGTAACCACTTCGTTGGTAGCACAGAGATGGTCTCGGAGCCAAAGCATCAAATGGGCGCACACACCTGTGCGAAGTATTTAGTTCCACCGCGGACTAGTTTCAAAATTCAGTGATCGTCGCTCGTTCGCCTCCTCCAACACTTACCAACATGATAGTAACCCCAAGAAGCCAGCTCGTTAGCTCAGTTTCGAGACGGACGGCGTATTGACGCTCCACCGCCGTGTGCGCGAGTGATGCGCCCGAGGACGAGCAGCCCCAAATCGGGCGGATGGAGCGTTGTTCGGCACACACGTCTCCCAAATAGGCAACAACTCCAGTGCTTCGTGCTTCGCAGGCGTAGCGGAGCGTGCGGGAGGTGGCACGGCGCGAAGCGACGGCTGCACGGGCGCTGATGCGGCGAAGGGGATCGGTGGTCGAGAAGCATGTTCGCGGAATGGCGGCTGGGCCGATCGCCAGCGGCCGTAAGATCGATTCGGAACTCGCGTGGCTCAGTGTCCTCGGGCGCTGACCTGGTCCGTGCTGCATGTCAGCGCGATGTTTCTTTGGTCTGTCAGTAAGGGAAGTCGTGCGCGGTCGATGAGGCGTGGTGCCCGTGCGCCTTCTCTGCGCGAAGATCAGCTCTGAGTGAGCATTACGACATGGTAACATTGAAGGAACGGGACTAGTACGGAACTGTCAAAGACAAGTGTAAGATGTTCTTTCGCGCCGTCCAGTTCGGAGACGTTATCTTCCCAGCAGGGATCCAGGTGACTATTGGGTATTAAACTTCACGCGTTCTCCGACGGCGGATGATGGACAATGGACGCCCATGCATTGGTTATGACAATTGTACTGGAGACGGGCCATCATTGTACTGCGAACTGTGTAAGGAGATAGGACCACGAGGATGGGTCAGAACCGCGCTATCGGAATTGCTGGCGTCGTCGAAGGCAGGAAAGAGCAAGGCACGCCCCTCAGGGATGGTACCGGCGGCATGAGCAGAGGAGGTCGGCCGGCAGGTCTTTGGGCTGTATCGATGTACGCCGAGGGTCGCATCACGTCCGCGCCCCCCTGTCTGCATTTGGGCAACCGCCTCTGCTATCCCCTTCCGGGTCGCGTAGCGGGGGACCAGCAGGCCCGGGACCGCAAGGAACGATCTCCGATCCAAGCCCGCGGCAAATGCCTCGCGGCCAGAACAGGCAAAGGTAAATTGCGCGCGGAACGCATGGCTACGCGGGTGATTGGATGATCGCGCGCCATCGCTCGCTCGCTGGCGCTGCCCGAGCGCGACGAACACGGAGCGCGGCGGGGGTGGCGGGTGGCGGGGCGGTGGCTGGGGTGGGCCGGATGAGAGCGGCGAGGTCTGTGCTCGTCCCACCAGCGACCTGCGACTGGCGTCGAGACGAGGACCGCCAAGTGTCGAGTGGGACGGGTATGATTGCCCGCTGTGAGAGGGACGTGGGAGGCGCATATGACCATGATGGCACGCGTCCGACTCTGGGCAAGCAGTGCAGCGGGCGCCTACACGCTCTTGTCGCGACAAGCCGGAATTATGGCTTCCGCGCTCTCGCCAGAAGTGATTTGATACAAGTACGGCTGGATCGTCCCCCGCCGGGGTCGTTCGCCTTGTTCTTCGCCTTTGGCTCTCCTCGTCCTCCTCCTCAGGCGGCCGTCTCTGTCTCGTGTGACGCACCCGGCTTTGCTCGCCGCCTCGAGTCTCCCCTGGATAGGGCTCCCTTCCACCGTGTACCTTCTTTTGGGCCCCGACCCTTGCCACTTTCTCACCTTCTCCGTGCCCACCTTTGCCCTTTCGCATATTCTACTACACTATTTTTGTAATGGCCGAGAAGCGGGCGTCCCTATCATCCACACCGGGTCCGAGCAACACCCTCCAGAGAGGTCCGTCTCCCCCGCATCCGTGGGCTATTTCCGATCCACTTACTCTCATGTCATCGTCCTGCCGCAGGTAAAGCATGTCTCCGCTGCCGGAAACGCAAGATGGTCAGTCGCCCCGCCCTTCCCCCCACACGTGCCGCTGACGCCCCAGGTAGCGCTGCGACGGCGCAAAGCCCGCATGCCAACAATGCGTCCGCGCAAAGAAAGGCGATGCCTGCGAGTACGACGACGGGAAGGGGAAGACGCGCACCCAGCTCATGCGAGAGCACATCGCTCGCCTCGAGCTTAGGGTCAAGGAGCTTGAGGGCCTCGAACACTCGTCTCCGTCCGTGACGCTGTTCGATCCTCACTCACAGACCCCGTATTACTCTGGGTCGTCCTCCTCCTCTAGCCACGGTTCCCCGGGCACCTATAGTCTTCCTACTTCGGCATCGCCGACGCCGTTTCAACCAGGTGAGCCGCCACTCGCGTCGCGCTGCTGCCCCCCTCGCTGACACCCGGGTCCGCGCTAGACGTAGAGTCAAGTTGGGAGACACAATGGGAGAACATGGCAGTGCGTGTGTGATCCTGTCTCACTGCTTGCGTTGTGTAATGTCCCCCTTAGGACTTCGCGGGACCTGTCAGCGAACCATACAATCCGTCAGACGAGCCACCACTCGAGCTTGCGCAGATGCTGTAAGTACGATCATATCCGATGCGGTCTAGAGGGCTTACTCCCCATGGCACGTAGGTTGGAGATCTTCCTTCCCCACAGGCATCAGTGTGGTCTTGAACTGCATCCTGATCGTCTGCGAGAATCTCTGACTCTCCCCTCATCAGAGCGCCGGCATCCAGTCCTGATGAACGCGATCTACCTGTGGGCGTGTTACCTGTCGCGGCCAGGATCTCTTTGCGAGCATGAGCCCCATTACTTGTCGCGTGCGCTGTCGGCTATGACCGACGCGATCCAGTACCCATCCAAAGTGATCGACGTGATCCAGGCGTCCTGCATCCTGTCAGTGTACTACCTCTCGAACGGCCGCCTGTTCGAGGGCAGCTACCACTCGACCGTCGCGTCTTCGCTGGCAGTGCAGTTCGGTCTGCACCAGATTGATGTGGACGAGCGGACGCCGCTGTCGAGCGCGGAGGACTGGGACTCGACGTTCAGACTTGAGCCTGCGAAGGACACGATTGAGCGCGGAGAGCGAATACTGACGTTCTGGCAAGTGTACAACCTGGACCGGTGCTGGTCCGTGGCGCTCCAACGGCCGTCGACCATCCCGGACAGCGATCACCCCTGGACGTGTATCAGCACACCGTGGCCACAGAGTATGGACGAGTATGCATGTGTATGTGATGATGCGTAACTTATGCCCCGTAGGAATAGTGTATTAATCTGTTTAATTGGGTAGGGAGACATTGACGTGGGCAACGCGAGCCCGACCGTGCAAGGCTTTTTCATGCACCAAGCTCAGACGTCGAACATGGTCAGTGGCTTCTCGACTGCAGCTCTCCGCGCGAAAGCGTCCGCACTCTTCGAGGCTGCCAACCGGCTGTCGTCAAGCTGGAGCTCACGTACGTCCTGCTTTCCTCGCCCGTGAGGCGTCGCTCATCCGTCGTTTGCCAGAAGTGCCCTCCTCCAACGCGTTCATGGACAACTTCCGCGTCCTCGAGCACACCATCACGCGCTTCGCGTCGACGCTGCTGCCCCTGCATCAGCTCGGCGCGGCGCTGCCCGAGGACAAGTACACGCTCATCATGGTCCACAGCCTGGCGCACGCCGCGATGGTCCGTCTGCACTTCCCGTTCATGGAGAACGACGCCATCTCGCGCGAGAAGTGTCTGCGCTCCGCGCGGGGCATGATCCTCGTCTCTAAGCACATCGTCGACATGGACTTCGAGTTCCTGGACCCCCTGATCGGTGTACGTCACATCATTGCTCTCGTAATCGTCCCGGGTTCTCGCTGATTAGCGCGCTCGTATCTGTCAGCCCTGTTGGTCTTCGGCAGCGAAGGTGCTCGAGTCAGAGCTGCTTCGCCTTCAGTCTTCGTGGCCGCCGATGAACTCGCTGGAGATCCAGGGCGAGCTGGGCGCCGTCCTCTTTGTCATGACGAAGCTCAGCGCACGGTTCCCGCTTTTAAGTGGGTTTTCCGCCTATCGTCGTGGTGTTGCATGTGTGACTGATCATCAGCGGTGGAGTTGTAGGCTACCAGGCCGCGAAAATCCAGAACTTCCTCGAGTCAAAATAGGTGTTTCCGCCTGACCGGACCCTCTACGACCAGTCGTTATCTGGTCTCTGAACACGCGCGGCCGTCTGCGGCCGCCGATTCAGCTACGTTATTTTTACGTTCTTGACGAACTTTCACGCTCCCTCGGACAGCTATCTGCTTTATGCGTTTCTTCACGCTCGAGCTCGGGGAGCTCACTGACACTCGCTACGAACTGTCGAACTTGCCTTCACGCCACTCGGACACTTCACGGACACGGACTCGCTTGGGCTGTTGTCACGGACTATACCAACGGACTTATTGATATCGGACTAAGCTACGGACTTGTTGCCACGGACTACATAATAACGGACACGGACACGGACACGCACTGTACTTTTATTCATCGTCGCATATCCTAAGTAGTGCAGAATATTGACAAGGACTACTGTAGAACTAGACGATACTATCACTTGGACCCGAGGTTGTGTTCTGGTCTAATGTAGTACATCGAAAGCGAAGCAAATCGTACTAAAACCCCGTCTCCTGTGATTTAGGCTTCGTCTCTTGGTTTCCACATGCTCAAGGCTCTATGCTTTGACAGGGAACTCCTCCAATGCGGTATCAAATAATAGAGGTTCAACGTTACACCGGCTCGGGCTCAAACATGACAGAAGACGATCAACGGTCGTTAAATGCAGATAGTTGTGTGTGTTTCTGATATATTATGCCACTAGTCTCTGGAAGCCACAGCTGTACATGTCTCGTATTTATCGTCTCTCGAAACTGTCGGTCTACTGACAATACCCCAGACCAACGACCCTTCCGGATCAAAAGCCCAAGCTCGACAAGCGTCGACGCCAGCTTCGCGGTGGCACGAAAGGCAATCGGCGATCACTGATGTGACGACGTGGATCAGACGAGACATGAAGAAGGCATGTGCAGTGTCGATCGGTATGCGCGAACCCAGCGGGCAGTAGTTCCGAGCTGCGAGAAAGGTGGGGGTGCAGTACATTAGCGGTGCTTCGCGTCGGTGGCCTTGGAGCGAGGAGCACAGGGATGCTATGGCTGGCTCGTGAGACCGGCCATGTCTTCGAACCACTCCACCACGGCGGCGACTTTGCGCACGGAGGCGTCGCTGAATCCTAGCCTGAGGTCCGGCCGGAAACGTTTGTCGCCTGGCATGAGGGGCATGGTGCGGTAGCATATTTCCAACCGAGACTTGACATTGGCGGAGGCGGTGAGTGTCACCGGGGCCGCATTACCAGAAACCTTGTCGGTGGTGGGGTCACTGATCCCCCAGGACGCGAGGACATCTGGTGCACATGGAGGCTTCAATACATGGGGACATTGAGCGCACGCATGAAACTCACTCTCGAGCAGGACGATGTCTCCGCGTTTGACGCCAGCAGCTGTGTCTGCACCGCCCCACGTTTCAGCGGTCTCTCTCCACGCCGTGACCTTACAAACGCATCCTTCTTCGTCACCCAGAATGAGCTTGAGCAGGGACACCTCCTTGCCGGCCTCAGCTCCCTTCTTTATGCGGATAGTGTCCGGACCCTCGACTTCAAGCACTGCTGCCAGGATAGTGACCTTTCGCGATCCTTTTCGTCCTGTGTTCCCCGCTCGGCCAATGTCTGCTTGTGCATGTGCCGCCAACTGTGACAGGGTCGTCAAAGTGTGGATGCTGAAGTGGAACTCCGGAAACCGCCCGACGGAGGATGCGTCCGAGTACTCAAACGAGCCAGACGCACGAGTGTCTTGCGTCTCGAGCATAGAGCGAACTCGCGATATGCTGGCGGTCGGTCGCAGAAACGTTAGAGCTGTTTTTGACAGATTTTGTGTCTTCGTCGTCTCGAGGACGGTAAGGGGCCAAGTTATGGCAGCTGTGTCATCTGCGGCCGAGCGTCGCTGCGGTGAGATCGATGACATGACCATGCGGTATAGCGGCAGTACCTGGAGGAGCTACAGGACTCGTTTGCAGATTCTGTGCGACGTTCATTACGCTCAGGTAGTGGCTCTCGTCGTCGTCATCTTGAAAAATGATGTTTTCATACAACGCCGATATTCTCCTGCTTGCGGCCTCAATGGTGTCGGGAAGTAGGGTTATGTTCCGTTGGCTGATCGACGACACAGTCTGCCAGTAGTACGCCTCTTTGTCTTCCTTGATTTCCCTGGCCAGAGGTGCCCCCAGGAACACTCTATGCGACTTCATTGAGATGAAGGAGTTGGCTGGAATGATATTATTGTGATTAGTACATGCGCTCCCATGTCAAAAACATTGCAAAGGGAATCATCGGCACCACAGCTCTGACCGCAAGCTGAAGGACGTGCGGATTTTGATGAGACGTGTATAAGTCAGTCATGAACAAGTCAAGTGCACAGACATGTACAGAGGCCGTTGTACCGTTGTAGCACTGGGAGACAAGAATACTTGCATTCCAGTCAGATAATTTCACCACAGTCTCCCTGCGACTCCTCAAGGCCTCAAGCTCAAGGTTCAACAAATGCATGTGCTGTGGCGAGAGCAGTCTCAGACTTGAGTGAGAGAAGTCCCCGACTCCGACCGGAGGGAGAGGAGGGCTTTGTCCACCCTAACTTGAGACGATGCCGGCGATGCCGCTCCCTCCGTGGGAAACACGTGACTTGCAACTCCCATAAACGGTATCGCAGCAATGCCCGAGTGTCCTACGAGGCAGCTCGAGGCAGTTGGATCCTTCCGTGCATCTGGCTGTGTCTGGACGCCTGGATCTCTGACCATCAAACGACTCCTCCCAAATGCAGGAGAGTTTCTCTCATTTTTGATAGCCTGCACTTACAGACTTATGTACTGTGATACATAAGTACTGAGTACTGAGTCGTGGAAGCCCGAGACGCCCGGGCGGCGAAGCCACCGCGGGCGTGAGGGCTTCCAGTTGAGTCTCCATACCACTCCGATGGTACAATATTACAATACATACATAATATACTCTGGTGCCGCTGTGGCAGGCTGAGTAGCTGTGTTCCATACAGGAGTCGGGGATCGGCGCTTGCGCCGCTACGATTATGTAGAAAGGCGCTTGCTGAGTACTTGAGTTCGTTGTCACGTGTGATGTACTGGTTCGTGCTGCTTCGAGCCCGATCGCGAGCGCGTCTCGGATGCTCCTCAGCCGCCGACAGGCCAACACAGTACATTGCTCCGACTCGCCGCTCATGACCAGTGTGCTGACTTCGTCGTCTACCTCCCTCGACTGATAGCTCTTAGACTGCGACGAGGTCTTTGGGATTTTCGATCCAACTGTCGTCGTCGACGCGTCAAACAGTTGTATTCGATCGTGGTCACGGTGGCATACGTGTAGTAAGGCTTTGACGGTGAGTTACCTTGGTGCTCAGATCTCATAGCCCGCTACGACTGAGCCATACTTTTTCTGTACCACAGGATCTGGTCTAAAATTGTGTATTCACCATGTCTCGCAGCGTAGACGATCTGAGACCTGCTGCGATGGACATCCCGGGCGCACGTCACGCACAGGAATTGGCCGACCAGCTGCACATCATCGTAGGATCTCCCGAGCAGGTTGACGACGGCAACCTACGTTCCCGGCAAATGCGCAGTCCTCCGTCGCTTGATATTCCTCCAAGACCTAGCATTTTACGCAATATCTCAACTGCAACCCTCCCACCTACACGAGGGTCGGGTACGCACTCTCGTATTCACGACCTTCACTCTGGTGCTAGCTCTGGCTCTACCCTAAATCACTTCCAATCACGAGAATGGAGCGTCTTTGGCGAGTTGTTCGACGCGAAGGATCGGCTGAGGACGCCTGCCCCACACAGCACAGAAGTTCGCTTGAGGAATCATAAGAGACGCCATACCACGAACCCGACTGCTCCTTATCCTCCGTCGCAAGATCGAGAATGCCCTTCCGACACGGTGCAATCGCCAGTAGAAGATCCTAATCTCACAGAACCTTCAACAGAAAGTTCGGAAGAGGAATTGCTGTTTCATGGCAGTAATTCACGACCCAACGCTCCCTCCCTGACAGTGAACAGTACTTCTCACTCCTCGTCGACGCGCCCGCGGTGGCGTTGGCCATCCCTTTCTGCGCTGCCACCTCTCTCGCCTCTCCAACGCAACATCCTCAAATGTTCTGTAGCTTACTTCGTGGCGTCTCTCTTCACGTTTTCGCCATATCTTTCGGGTTTCATTGCCGACCTCACCAATTATGGCCCTGGCGAGTCCTTTCCCGCACCTTCTGGCCATATGGTCGCTACAGTGTAGGTCGTATGAGCCATGTATTCGGTGGATTCCCTGACACTGGATTGGGCAGTGCCGTTTACTATAACCCCGCAAAGACACTGGGCGGCATGATCGAAGCAGATATGTACTGCATGATGGGACTTTTGTTCGCAGCGTTCGTATCCCTGAGCAGCATGACCATGTTTTGGTTCTTCGAGGTCAGAGCCGGCTGGGAGTGGCTGGCAGATGCCCTAGTGATCTTGTGGATTGGGACTGGAATGTCTCTTGTTGCCTGGACGAAACTATGGATGGCGAAGCCAACTTTCAACACCGGTTCGTTAGCCTTGATTCTTTACGCGTTCACTCACCAATTCTACTTACAGCATGCAGTATGACCGCCATTATTCTCTTCGTGGTGTGAGTGTCCCGGTGCATCGTCCATACGCGATTTCTAACGATGTCCCAAGAGTGATCAAGGAAGGTGGCCTTCAGACCCTTCTCCAAGTCTCCTTCATCATCTTGTGTGGAGCGACAGTCTCAAATCTCGTCTGCATGCTTCTCTGGCCTCAACGGGCTACTAAGAATCTGCAGAAAGCGATGACTCAGACGCTGCAGTCATTCTCCACCCTGCTGGAGATGCTCACGGACACGTTCCTCCTCGAGGATTCGCTACAGAACCTCACTGGCGACAAGCTGCGAAAGGCTGCGGAGAGCCACCAGGCGAGTTTCACGAGTCTGAAGAAGCATTTCGACGAGGCGCAGTCGGAGTGGCTCATCGGCGGCCCCAAGAAACCTCGCGGAGACAAGACGGACAACCTGCGTGAGAGCTCCGGCCAGGCGTACCAGGACGCGATCGGATGTCTCAACCGACTCGGCCAGCATCTGAACGGCCTGCGGAGTGGCACGACCCTCCAGTACGAGCTGATCAAAGCGGAGAAGGACGGGAAGCTCGTGTTGAGGAACCGGTATCCCAATACGTCTGGCGGTACAATGCCCACGGGGGCTGCATCGGACTCGTCGGCGACCATCCGAGAGGACGAGGATGCGGCTATGTTGCAGGCTGCTGCTTCCATGTTTGGAGATCTCATTGACGACCTCGGTCCCCCGTTGAAGGCGCTCTCTGTACGTCTCTGATCACGTCCACTTTTGCGTGTCGTCTTGACTTGCAACACTCCCAGACAGCTTGCATAACGACGCTTAAGAGGCTAAAAGACGGATTTACCGCGCGTAAAGATCCCGTAAACCGTATGACCTCCGCGGAGTTCCAACAGCTTGCGGATGCTGTTCGAAGGGCTCTCTTTACATTCGAGAGCACGTCCAACCACGCCGTGGTTCGGATGTACAGACGCCAGCAGAACATGTCTGGTACACAGTCTCGGGACTCATACGGCTCGGCGCTTTACGAGAACCATGTCCTGATGGACAATGATGGCGAGAGTGTCTTCCTGGTATATTTGTGAGTGCTTTGCTGCAATTGGGACCGGTTCGTCTCCGGGTTCTGATGCCGACGCACGATAGCTTCATTTTCACCCTGCAAGAATTCTCGAAGGAGCTCATCGCTCTCGTCGATGCACTGGAAAGACTATATGCGGCGGAACATGAACGTGCCAGCCCGCGTATGAAGTGGAAGTGGCTGCGAGATGCTATTAGTATATCTGGCCCGCGGCGTGCCTCTCAGAACAAACGCAATGAAAGGAGCTTTAGCAAGCGATTCTGTACGTGATAAAATTTGACCTTCATTGCTGTCGGCCTTACTTCTGCACAGCTGTATATTTCAATCCAGGTCCACGACGCGATCCTGTAGCGTTCCCGAAGATCCGACCCCATGCCCCGAATACTATGCAGACCCCTGCACGATCAAATTTGTCACTGATTGGTCGGTTGAAGCAATCGCTGTGGGCGATCGGCGCACGGTTAAGGGAACCTGACATCAAGTATGCTTTCAAGGCCGGAATGGCTACCGCGATGCTTGCCGCCCCTGCCTTTTTCGACTCTACACGGCCACTATTCTTGCATTATCGCGGAGAATGGGCCCTAATCTCGGTAGGTCTTGCCCCCCAACCAGGTTAGCACTCGCCCTCATAACCCACCACCAGTTCTTCGTCGTCATATCCCCAACCATTGGAGCAGTGAGTCTACCTCTCAATCGATGCGCGCTACATAATATATGCTAAAATCACAAGACAAATTTCATGGGAGTGCACCGAGTGCTAGGCACGCTGTAAGTCAATGGCAACTCCAGTACCAATTGACAGAGTTGACACGACCTGCGATCTAGCTTCGGCGCAACAACTGCAGCTGGCATCTGGACGCTTTTCCCGGAGAATCCCTACGCCCTCTCGATCTTCGGATTCTTCTTCTCCATCCCTTGCTTCTACTACATCGTAGCCAAGCCACAATATGCGACATCGTCCAGGTTTGTGTTGCTGACGTACAACCTGACGTGTTTGTATTGGTACGATATCTTCATCACTGATCGCTATTGCGGCATTTGACTCTGTCGACCTCCAGCTACAACTTGCGGCGGAAGGATGTTGATGTCCTCGAAATTGCTTACCATCGCGCAGTCGCCGTCACAATCGGAGTCATCTGGGCAGCCATTGTATCGCGTTACTGGTGGCCGACGGAGGCACGACGCGCTCTGGGTAAAGCTCTTGGAGAGTGAGTAGCACGACACCCGCCTTTCTCCCTATTCTCATGCTGACTGTTCGACCAGGTTCTGCCTCAATATGGGATGGTTATACACCCGTTTGGTCGCCTTTAACTCGTTTGCCGATGCCGACTTGCGAGCAATGCAGGATGATGCCGACGATGAATCTGAATCATCGCCTTTCATGCCGCAGTCGCGAAACGCACATCTTACCAACTCCATTCATCACTTCATGGCCATGTGGGTAGCGCAGTATTGCATATCCATACCACAAGATCCTGACTGACTGTCGATACTTAGGGAGCTGCATCTGCAGATCAAGCTGATTGAAATCCAAGGCTTGCTGGCTCAGACGCAACACGAGCCTCGTTGGAAGGGTCCATTCCCGGTCACCTTGTATCGGTCAATCTTGACAAGTCTACAGAAAATATTGGATCAATTACACAGTATGCGGTGTGTGACGGCGCGGGAGGAATGGTAAGTGCATCTTGACAGATCATCGGTCAACTCGACAACTGACGTTGAATCTAGGCATACGGTGCATACCACATCGCGACGTTATTGATATAGCTACTTACGTGTGTACACAGACCGTCCGTCGCGACTTCATCTTGCCCGTGAACAGGGAACGACGCGAGATGGTTGGGAATATTATTCTCTATTTCTCGACCCTATCCGCTGCGTTTGCCTTGAAATCGCCCCTTCCTCCGTATCTGCCTCCCGCCGAGGAGGCGCGACTACGTCTGGTCAGTCAGCATCGTTGTCCTGTGGAAAGAGGCGAGCTGATGACCAAATAAATGCAGGTCGATGCGATCAGGAAGCTCGACGTTGTCCGCAATCGAGACGTACGGGGGTCGAGGCAGCTCCTCTTCTTCGCCTACGCGCTCACCATGAAAGGCGTCATACAAGAGCTCAACTTCCTCGGGCATACCCTGCAAGATGTCTTCGGTGTAATCGGACAGTCGCGGGAAGAGTTCGAAGCTTTGTTCAACGTCATCGATGCGCCCAGCGACGTCTAACATGTTTACTGCTGCGTCGTACTGATTCCAACCGATGGATTACTTACGGGGCTTTCTTGGTCCACTGTATATTCTCATAGACGTAACTCATAGCATATATGGATAGACTTAGGATCGGATCCAATGGCACGGCTCGATAGGACAGGTCACTGCAATACTATCGGCGAACCTCGCAAGGTATGGGAGTACAACAGATATTAGGATGTCTTAGTCCTTTTCTTTCTCCTCGGTCCTCCCGGCTGCTCATCCCCCTGCATCCTAGCCAGCAACGACGATTTGGGCGTTGGGCTACTTTGCCCATTATCCGTAGTCGCGGCTTTCGCTGCGCCCTTGATGCTGAAGCCCAACACCGGGTTCTTGTCTGGTTCTTGACGGCCATGCCGTGGCTGCGCCATTGTTACCGGTGTAGAGTCCAAACGACGCCTCCCACTGTCCGCTCCACGGTCTCCGGTTATACTACCGTTCGAAGGCAGTGTTGCAAGGCGGCTCAGCAACGACGGCGACTCGTCGATGCCGCCTCCCTTCTTCGCCCGTTTCGCCGCCCGTAGCTCGTCCTCCTGGGGTGTTGAAGGTTGTCCATTGCGTGCTGCGGCGCCTGCGATGGACAGTCCCACTAGTGGGCGTGGTTGTGACGTTGATGCACGCTGCTGGGCCGTCCGCGACGTCGACGGTGTCACGGTCACCCCGTTCGTCGTGCTCGCCGTTGGGCGGGGCGGCAAACTCGCAGGCTTGTCTTCATGCTTGCGCTTGACGTTCATGATGCGCCGCTCCGCCTTAGTCGGGGAGGCGCTGCCGGGGCTGGGGCTGCTACTTGTACCTTGTGAGGCATTAGTAGGTGCGGGTGCTGCCGATATCGGCACGGGGGGCCTGCCAATAGCCTGGAGAGACTGCTCAAAGAGAAGAGAGAAACGTGTCGGAGACAAGCAGCTAAAATGAAAGACGGCCCATTGCGAACCCTAATGACACTCTGGATGTCTTGCTCGTCGTCAATCTTCGCGTCTTTGCCTTGGGTGGTGAGCAGATTCTGGATGTTCTGGAGGTCGGTCCCCAGACGTGAGGGCAAGGCCCATTTGTACTCGTTATGATGCTGCAATGTTAAGCTGCTGGTAAGACGGTAGTTTGCGGGCAAGGTACTCACACGTAGGCATGTCTTCAGGAAGACGTGGCAGGCTTTCCATGGTCGCTGCTCAGAAGTGAACTTCGTCTCGGAGAATACCTGCGGGCGACGATCAGCTCGTGAATCCGCCGCCGCGACACTATCCATACCTGTAGGTAATTGTGGCACACATGGGGTGTTTGCCTACGCAGCGTTGCGTCTTCTTGTGGCATCATGCTTGCACCTTCGAGAGGGCTGGCTTGGCAGGCTGCAAGAGTATCGGCAACATTGGATAGTACGAACGCTTGGGCGTCCTCAGTGAGCCTAAGCAAAGTGGGTTTCGCGGCTAGTTGTGATGTAAAATAGAAGCGCAGCAGATGTGAGGGGTGTGCCACACGCTTCTGTACGGCGATAATTGAAGCAAGGTCCAGGTAGTATCGAGAGTTGGTCAGCGGTGTGTGCGCTTCAGCTGCCAGGAGGTCGGTCTTGAGAGACCCTTTGGCTTTCTCCAGGACAGCATCAAGTAGTTGTTTGCCGCGAGGCGAGCTTGGTTTGAAGGATGGTAATGACAACAGGACGTCCTTCGCAATGACATCTATATCTGCCGGGGTCAGCTTGTCAACTGCCTGTGGCGTTTGTGTTAGCCTGCATCGAGGCCCGGACTGACAACCACACACACCCTCAACAGTCCTGCGACAAGCGTCTCCTCCGCGGCGCTCCCGGGGGTACTTGTATGTCGTTCCACAGCGCGCTTGGCTTCACCTGTCATGAATGATAGTACCAGTGAACGGAGCCGAGTCCGGATGGCTTGCTCCTCTTCGTCCATAGGTTCGTCGGGTGGCACGATCTGATCGCAGAGGACACCTAGCGTGACAGCGGGATCCATGTCGAGGTGTTCAGAAAGCATGCGCTTGACGACTGAGACTTCGTCTTGTTCATCTAATACATAGGGAGCATGTTAGTGGCGAATGATGTGGTAGACAGCGACACTTGCGGGCGACGCTGCAAGCCGGTAACAGAGATCAGGAAGCAAGACTCACCACTCTGAAGTAGTTGCACCAGCACGTCCGCGTTTCTCTTCACCCACTTTGGCTGTTCCTTTGACACGTCTGCGATCGCTCTATACCCGCACATTCGGACCTGCAAGAAAGACGTTGTCCCTTGTACCCCGATACGAGGTCTGAAGCCACATACCTTCATCACCTGGTCCTCACAGAGGTCATATACCGCATTGATAGCGTCGTCTTCCAGTTCCGGGAAGTCCTTGATGAAAACCTTGAGGTTCTGGGCCACCACGATCTTGAGCTTTGGATGGGGGGAACGCGCTAGCTCAATGAGCCGCTTCATGGCCTCTTTTCTCTGCCCGCATCGTGTGAGACAACGCACATCACGTAGTACTCGTAGCTTACATGGGAGGACTTTGCTGGTGTTTTGAAGGCCTTGCGCAGGACCTCGTTGATTTCCTTCTCCTGCTCGTCGAGGCTTCTGCCCTCCATGGTTGAGTAGGTTGATGCGAGAGTCGACTACGGACTTGGTCTGTTGCCGCCACACCCAGTCTGAGGCTCCAAACACACACAAATAGACGCCAGCCACCCCAGCAGCGACTCTCCGGCGCTTGCCAGCACGTACAGTACACACCCAGCGTGCAGACTACCGGCTCGTTCGCCTCTAAGAGACCCGGAGTCGGGACTGATGGTGCTACAGAGACGAGTGCAATCTTGAAGATGGGATTTATTGGCTATATCTGACAGGTTCCACACCAGGTTTGTGATAGCCCAGGATTCGGGAAAGAGCGACGCTGCGCTCATCACAACTGGCACTGAATCGTATCCCAGTCTTCATTGTGCCTACGATACGTAGTGAGTGCAATGCAATTGATCGTACGGCTACTGCTGAATATTGCCCTTGAAATGTTTGATCCTCAATCACCTGTGAACTTCGGTCCGTCAGCTCAGAGGGCATTTAGACTTTAGCTTCATCGCTCACAATGCGTGCCACGGATGATCGCAATCCATACAGGAAACCCTAGTCGAGCCCCTCGCAGAGTGTGCTATCTCCATCCAGCGCCGTGTCCTCCGAGGGGGACAGCATGTACTCGCCCAGGAACATGAGCGAGTGGTTGACTACCTCCGCGACGGGCGTGAGGAGCTCGTCTCGATACTCGCGTATCTCGACTGGGTTCCTCTTCGGCGAGCCGCTGCGATCGAACGTCTCCACCCATACCAGCGCGTCGATATGCATGACAAACGCGGTCACTAACTTGTTCCTCCTCCTCAGGTCGTTCTGCATGATCTGGTTAATCGTCTCTTGCCGCAGCGTACCCTGCCACCATCGCAGGAATGAAATTCGCCCGGCTTCGTAGGGTTGGATGCGAACCGCGTCACGGCGCGTTCGGATGCGGTCGTCCAGAGTCAACAAGTCTCTGAGCAGTCCTCGCTTCAGCGCAACTCTTTGGGTGACAACACGTTCCGGGTCGTTGGTGAGTTTCGGATCCATTGTCGTGAACCTGGAGACTATGGTTTTCATTTCGGACGGAAGCGCGTCGAACTTCTTGCCGCCTAGGACATAGTCCTGGAGAGCGAACGTGTAGTCCACGCAGGGATTGACCTTGCCGAACCTCGACATGGTGAGCAGGGGTGGTAGGAGATGTGGAGCGACGACTGCAGGCCAGTTTGCTGTACGCTGCCTTCTTCATGGCTCGCTTTTATAGCAGACGGTCTCGCAATGGGTGGCCAGCTGTGGCTAATTCGCAGGTCCCCGGAGGTTGCCGCGAGCCACTCAGCTAACCAATTCTGTGCACACAGGCGATATTGTTCGCCTAAAGCAGAAGACTCGGGGCACGGCTCAGGCTGGAGTCATCGTTTGTGCAAGACCGACAATGCAAACACTGGCGGGGCTTCAAACCAATGTAGCAGACGAATAGGCGGACGGGGAATGTGACTACGGACTCGGACGTCCGTACGAATAGCCCTTCATTTCCTTTGAACGAGAGCCTTCTGTTCCGAGTCAGTCGCAAATGTTCAGCCACAACTTGACATGCCACATCATAAGTACCTGTATACAGTTTGCTTACTACGGTAAGTAAATAAGTTAGTAGGCACGTACTGCACTTCTGGAGCCTGTATCAATACACTTTCTCTTCCACCGCAACCACCATGTAGCGTTTGCATCGATCCATCTGCGCTCATCCAGCAGTCGACCACGATGCTTTCACACCGTTCCAACCTAGCTCACTGTTTTATGATGCCCTCTGGCCGCTGTTGATCCTTGCGCCCGCGTCGTGACTGACTGATCAGACGACGGTCCAAAGACCGAGCTGTTCTCTTCATCGGCCTACTCTAAAAGTACAGGTGAGAACACAAACTAGATGGAAAAAACGATCCCCCTGAGCGGACGTATCGCAGTCATAGCTCGGGCACCAAGCCCAACATGACGGCAACCCTATAGAACTCCCTGCCTTCCTTTCTCCTGTTCTTGCGGTCCGACGGCTTGTGACCTGTGATTTCTCCGGCCGAGCACTCTCCAGCATTCTCGCGCCGCGCCGTGGTCGACGCGGACTCGGCCTGCTCGCAGATCAGACAATCGATCCAGTCGCAAGGTCGCTGGCAACTGGAGACGTCTTTCATGGAGGACGACGCTCGAGACCTTTTCTCTCTCGCTGAGATGCAGCCTGTCTCGACGTGACGAGTCTTTGCCGAGGCCCTCTTCTTGCCTGAAGATGATGAGCCAGCCCGACGGCGAGAGCGTCCGGACGCCCGTGCTCGCGCCCCGCTTTCCTTGGGCGACGCCTTCGACTTGGCGACGCCTTCCGAGAAGACTGCCTCGCCGACTGAAGAAGGGCAGAATGGACAATCGATCCAGTCGCATTCGCGCAACGGGCCGTCTGCAGTCTTCATCACAATTGGCTCTTCAGTGGCGAGCCCGTATGTCCAATCCTCTTTCCCTTGGGCGCAGAAGCCATCGTCGCGGCCAAAGCTGCTTGCCGTATCGGAGGATGATTCTGATCCCTCCGACAGGACGCCTACATTGGACCCTTCATTGGCATCGACGGGCTCTGAACCCAGGTCGTCAGTGACGAGGCTCTGGAGCGTCAGAGTGCCCGTACCTGGAAACGCAAGCCCCAAAGACTTCTGATGTGTCGGTGGTACGGTCTCGCAACGATGTGGTAGGAATGGTGGCCACGAAGCAAACTCGCTATCCTCCTGCACCATCCAGAAAGTCCGATCCACGGGGACGGGCGTTTCCGAAACGCGCAACGCGCAACGCGAAACGTCACGAAGTGTTACCAACTGTGACCCGTTACGCACCTTTCGTGGCCCGAGTACCAAGAATAGCAAGCTGAGTAAGCCGCTTCATTCCATTCATTCGGCTTATATGCTGCTTCAAAGCCTCAGTAAGTATTTTGGCTTTGCTACTAGCAGTAGTTGAGTCTGTATTAGTGGGTGGTTGATTTCTCACAGTGTTTCCGAGCGCGCGGGCGCCCTGCAACGGTGCAACCCGATTTGGAAAGCTCTTCCAAATCAGGCAATAAGCGCCTCACTTCGCGCGCCCCTCGCTACATCCGAATGAGTTGATACTTAAATCCAAATCTTCCTCAACTACTTGCTTGCTGCTTGGGAAAATCACTGTAATGAAAGATTTAAAAGGGTTACTCGCAATATACTTGTATTTTCTAGGAGCAACCCTTGGCTGACCGAGCGACACAAGTGGCCCGATGCCCCTGTAGGTGCTTTGTCAGTTACCGTATTCAGTAAGTAACACTGTGACGGACGTTTCGCAGAGGCGTTTCGCAGGGGCGTTTCGCAAACGCGTTGCGCAACGCCTCTCCCAGTCGATCGGACGTTCTCGCACCATCACGACGCGCACCCAAGGTAAGCACAAAGCCGAGTACGGTTGCACATGGTCACTCACCGGGTGGTCGTTGTTTACCGTACCCTGCTTTGTGATTCGCAGACGCACACCACCTCTCCAGACCTCCCAATCGTGATCAACTATGGCGGATATATTCGCCCTGTCGACCTTCGGAGGCCGCGTCGGTCGTGGCGCCGCGAAGACGATCGCCTCTACGATGGCGATGCTGGGCTTCCACAACTCCATAACCATCTCTTGCGGAGTCATGTAAGGCATCATGCCGTAGTCTGGGACGCGTCGCGTACGCGAGTACTGGCGCGAGGGCGCTGCGGCCACACTGGGAGGAGTGGCGTTGTCTTCAACAGCGACACGTCCAGCTCCGTCAGCCCTTACGAGGCGCTCCTGGTTGCCAGTATATGCGTCGGCATAGCATGGTTCGTCAATTGAACGCATGACGGTGGCCGGTTGAGCGTACGCCACATTCGCGAGGTTCGCAACTGCGTTCGCCTTCGCGTCGTGCCTGGTAAGTGAGAGCAGGTATGTTGCACGCATTGTAGACTGATGGTTTTGGTCAAGGTGATTGTAGTATGCGAATGCGCTTTGTGTCGCTAGATAGACGTCGTCGTGGGCGGACAAAAACAAGGATGTATGGGTGGCGTTCCAAGCTGGGTGGCGATCTTATATGTTGGGCGCTTACTCGATCATGGCCGAAGTCGTACACAGCTCCTTGGCGTAGATGGACCTCTCTTATGCGCGAGGCTGTGGCCATGTACGAGGACGTTACAAGTCCGGGGTATGCGCGGGTATATATACGATCTGCAGATCTCCCAACTTGCCAGGGCCTTTGATTATTGCTACCCCCAGCATATCCGCCTGCAAGTCTACGAACTCGCGTCTTCATCCCGCCCATTCACGTTCTACTCCTCACAAAGGCGCGGCCATGCCTGTCTGATCGTCGGACGACACTTCGTGCGAGGAGCGGCTTCCAGCGCGCCGACAGTAGAGGGTTGAGGTGCGCGGCGTGTCAACTGCTTGCGTACAGTCAACATACGACGTATCGGACATGTTGAAACGTCTAGTGACACGGAGAAGGCGTTACAGAAGTATATACCACAGGTAAAAAAAAAACAGTAAACCAGAATTGTATCCGACACGAACAGACTGCTGATGCAGCGTCTTGTCAGATTTTCGACCCGCGTCCCCCCGAGAAACCATTCTTCTCGACCATTTCCTCGTGCGCCACAGAGCCTTTCAGAAGGCATCACGGGACCACCCATTCCGAAACATCCTCAGCCAAATTGTCCAGCTCTCCTTATTTGTCTGCATTGTCCTGAGACAACGCAGCGCCAAACCGCAGGTGTCGAGAAGAGGGCGCGCCCTCGAGTTCGGAATCGTCATTCCCCTCAAGCGAGGGCAGTAACCACGGAGTAGCATCCGGGTACCTATCTTGAAGCAGTATTGGATCCTCGAGGAGCGGGTCCTCGCCTTGCTCTGCCGCCTGACGCCGCTGGCTCCATGCTATCGTCAACTCTGATTCCTTCGACCACTCTGTCTGGAAGTCTATGGAGTGCGTTGCCTCCTCGGGACGAAGGTGGTCATAGGTCTTCAGGGCGACTGCCCAGTCGTACTCGATAGATGGTCCGTGATCATGAATCGGATACATCGACTCGAGAAGGTAGGCGTGGGCGCCGGTTGCATGTCCCTGACTGACCCGCGTCGCGTCAATCCGCACCGGATCGAGGACGCCACCTCCATTGTCCATGTAGGGCTCCAAGAAGTGAGTGTGGTTGCGGTCCACATCGCGCCACTCGATCTGTGGCATGTCGTTCCATACTGAATCCAAGGTTGTTCCTGGTTGCACATGGAGAGTCAAGTCGGTGTTGGTTACATCGGACAGATATATTGGGTCGAACGGGAGTGGGATATGCTACATGATGACAACGTGAGTACACACCCAGATATGACTGAGATCGCTAGTCTGACTTACCGTTCTGGCATGGCGGTCATCGGTTGTATTTGTGTGTGTACTGTAGACTTTTAAATGATTCATCACCTAGGTGTGACTGTGACAGCCGAAACGAATTTTTGATTTCGTCAATTGCCTTGTGTGACCATGACAGAACGAAAATTTCGTCAAAACCCACTGTATAGAACTAACAAAATGTTACTTATCGTGTTTTGTAGAATGCCCAATGTTAGGCGCCCAATTTTCCAATTCGCCCGCTCCAAATGTGACCGTTATTTTCACCGAAAAATCGTTCCGTCAGGGGGCCTTGTGACACGTGACCGACGAATCATTTAAAAGTCTACAGTACTCTCAGAGCTCATTGTTGTGGTCCCGGGAAGAGCGATCTGCTGTCCAGCACCCGCATTCTGGGTGTGAAGCATGTTGATATCGGTAGAAGTAGGGTGTGTACCCTCCCGCAACGTCCCACCGGAGGAGGTCAGGGTATCCATGGTCTGAGTGGCGCTGCCACTGTTGGCCACCGTAACTAGGAGGTGGGTGGATTCATGATCGAAATCGATAGTCCTGGGCATTGTAGGATGACGATGTGGAATCAGAGTTTGATTTTGCAGGGTGCGATGCGACAACAAGTGCAGGAGAGCGGGGTAGGACGTCGAGGTGCGATGCGAGACGTGAATGTGGCTCGTCCTTTGACTTCCGGCGCCTAACCGCTCGCAAAATGCCGGGGCACTTGTGCTCCCCCTCATTCGTCCTCCATTAGCTAAGGCTATGGACACTGGACAGACTCGGAAAATCTGTGCCGAGCGGGTGATATACTTGATTCCATGAACGCTGCGCGCGAGAACATTATATCGGGGTGGAACGAAAACTTTGTGAACCACGACTCAGCGTTGCAAGGTCAGCGGCTGCATTTTCTTACGACTATTACTGCTGTCGCGGACCCATCGTACCGACGAAAGGCAGGCCATATAGGCATATGTTTGTACAAGATCCTTGTAGTGAGCATGGAGTGATCATACATAAACTCCAGTACTTACCTGCAGCCATTCTCATACATGAGCTACCACTCGCTCATGTATGAGCGAGGCGCCGTCATGTATGAATGAAGCGCCGTCGGTCGTTACCTGATATGGCAGCTACCCCGGGCGCCTGGCGCCTTCGTCCCCGGCGGGGCGGTACCACTGGCGGCTACCCCATATGGATGGACATCGGGGTCAGCGCATCTGAGATCAGGTACGATCTCGGATCCCCTGCCGCCCTGCCCTGCCCGCTGCGTGGCGTCGGTTTCGGCCAAACCCGGGAGCTCGCCACGAGCCGAGCGAGCGGCGAGCGCTTCCGCCCGCCGTTTACGACCTCCACTGGCACCACCCCGCGTCGGTCACCGACGTCGTTAGAGCACAGCGGGCACGACGACAGCGAGTAGCCGACACTGACATCGAGGTGAGCGCAGACGCACACGAGCGAGCGAGCTGACCGCAGCCACAGGACGCGGCGACGTGCAGTACACTCGTCGACCGCGAGCGCGTAGGGCTAATGCCCCGCGTGAAAACGCAGCCGACGGATGGACGACGGGCACGGGTGCGAGCGCAAGCGGACGAGTGGACTGGTGGACTGGTGGATGGACGGGCAGGCGGACTGGCGGGCAGGAAGACGAATGGGCAGACCAGCGGGCAGGAAGACGGGCGGGCAGGAAGACGGGCGGGCAGGAAGACGGGCGGGTAGGAAGACGCACAGACGAGCCGACAGTTGGGCAACCGAAGCGGACGGGTAGAAGAGCGAGTGGACAGGCAAGTGAACAGGCGACAGCACACGCCCACCGCGAGCGCGCCGGGCGAATGCCCGGCACGCAGACACAGCCGACGAATGCACACGCAGACGGGTGGGCAGGCAGTCAGATCGGCGCGCAGGCAGGTGAGCAGACGGACGAGCGAGAGGGCAGGCGGATGAGCGGGAGGGTAGGCGGACGAGCGGGAGGGCAAGCGGACGAGCGGGTGGGCGGTCCAGAACAGGTGGACAAGCAGACATGGAGGCGAGCGGGCAAGGAGGTGATTGGGTAGGCAAGGGCACCAGCAGGCGCGCCGGAAAGCGAGTGGATGGGCGAGCGAGAGGGCAGGCGGGCGAGAGGGAAAGCGAGCGGGAGAGAAAGCGAGCGGGCCCAGAGTGCGGATGCCATGAACACTACACGCACGACGACCGCGTGCGTGCCGGGCGAATGCCCAGCACGTAAGCACGGCCGACGAACGGAAGGCAGGCGTGTCAGTGAAGAGCGGGTGACCGCGACGGCGGGCAGAGCAGGGGCGCGCGCAACACGCAGCAATCGCAAACACACAGTGCGACTGCCTGCCCCTGTATGCAGACACGGCCGGCGTGTTCGTAGATATACCATCTGTAATGTAGTACGAATCTACTCTATAAAAATGAATTTGGTATATGTCGCGCTGGAACGCTCCTTATGATGACCGCCGAGCTTCAGAGAACCAGTACCGTATACTTAATAGCGTAGGCATCCCTACTGTACACGAGGACTTGGGGTTGTGTGTTGTACTACTGCATCCCATCTTATGTATTATATGCAACTGATCACATATATATTCCCTACGACATGCGTACACAGTGCG